TACTGTAGATCCTTACTTCATATACCACAGAAGTAACAATGACAAATTTAGGAACGACAGCTAAGTATAATGTTGATCCCTGATGATACTAGGAACAGGTGGTATAATGAATGTAATAGTGGTAAGGAATCTATCAACGTATGTATTTAACTGAATCAAACCAACTGCAGCGAAACTCAGCGCATTTATGGAACTAGAGATTAAAGAAAAGTTATTTATTTTAGTTTTAACTGGGCTAAGGTTAAGGTCATACCACAGAAGTAACAATGACAAATTTAGGAACGACAGCTAAGTATAATGTTGATCCCTGATGATACTAGGAACAGGTGGTATAATGAATGTAATAGTGGTAAGGAATCTATCAACGTATGTATTTAACTGAATCAAACCAACTGCAGCGAAACTCAGCGCATTTATGGAACTAGAGATTAAAGAAAAGTTATTTATTTTAGTTTTAACTGGGCTAAGGTTAAGGTCACAGAAGGTCAAAATAGGGCAAAAATTAGTGGTATTTTTTCTGGTGAGAGGTCAAGTTTAATCTACGCAATGAAAAGGCACATTAACTTCAAATTGAGAAAACGACTGCTGAAAGATTTTATATGGTAACGACTGATGTATGGGTCAGAAGTGTGGACACCTTCGGCAGACACCAGCAAGAGAGTTGGGGGCCTTTGAAATGTGGTGTTATAGGCTAATACTAAGAAGAAGCTACACAGACAGGAAAACAAATGAAGAAGTAAAAGATTCGCAAAATCTTCAAGAGAAATAATTGAAATGTACAGAAAAAGAAAAATGGGATATTTTGGTTATATAATTATGGACGAATGGATAATAACAGAGATATTAATGGGCAAAGTTGAAGGTAGGAGGGCCAGGGGAAGACAGAGACTGAGATGGATGAATGAAATTAAAAACTGGGTCTCCAGAGAGATACAAAATCTTGGAGGATCGGTAAAAAACAGCCCGAAAAGGTTTGAGCGGAAGTACTCCACTTTAAACGTTCTTGGGCCAACCCTCAGATATCAGGACGGTACTCTGATTGATTGAATTATGTATTCAAGATGATATATGAAAAAGCTAACTTGTTTCAATAAAAGTTTGGGTTTTCATAGAAAATTTGGTTATATCTGAGCCAAGTCAGGGTCACAATGGAAAGTCAAAATAAGGTGACTTATTGTTCATCTTCGAGTGACTTGAACACGAGCATGATGTCATCTGTGGGTTTCATGGCCACCACGGACAATTTCAATTCTTCATGGCCAGGCGCCAGAGACATCTCAAACTTCAAGATCACCTTAGCCAATGCCAACTTGGCCTCCATGAAGGCGAACCTCATTCCTGCAAGAATATGAAAGACTATGAGAGAGAGAGAGACAGAGAGAGAAAGAGAGAGAGGGTCGTCACACCCAAGTGCAATGTTAACGTCACAAGCAGATCACAATAGAACACACAACTGCTGTGAAGAAGAACAAGAACAACTGAAGATATATGTTGCATATTAAGCTTTAGTAAGTTCTCATGACTTTACCAGATTATAGTATGAATTAAGCAGCTTGCAAAGATAAAGAAATAAATAAATTAAGTTACTTGTCTGTGTACAGTATAAAATTCTAAAGTAAATATCTTCTCATGCATATGACCTTCCACTTTTTTGTATATAAATTAATCAAGTCAAGTTGGTACAGACAGAAAACTGATCTCAGCTACAGCACTACTGTACGGGTGAACTATTTTAATTTGAAACATCAAATTGGTCCTAAACAATTCGGAAAAATGGTCTCACACATTAATAGTTCTGGATTCCAGACCAAAAGATAAAGTGATATCAACATTTAACACAACACAGAGACCAATCATCCAACCGGTCTGGGACTTACCGATGCAGTTTCTGGGTCCAAGACCGAAGGGAAGGTAGGTGCCGCTGATCACATTGTGATTGTTCTCGGGCAAGAATCGGTCTGGGAGGAACTGGTCTGGGTTGGTCCAATAGCGAGGGTCATTTTGAAGACTCCAGACAGGCACGGTAACATGCTGTCCTTTCTTTAAGATAACGTCCGTACCTGGCAACCTGAGAGAGAGAGAGAGAGAGAGAGAGAGAGAGAGAGAGAGAGAGATTCACGTAAACTCAAACAATACTTTATAAAACACTGTATGACTGTACTGTATAAGTGCAAGGCTACAGGTGTATGATTTGTACAGGTGTATGACTGTATGGGATGTGTATTGATGCCCAAATCTGAGATCGTGTATACTGTATTTTTCCACCAAGGACAACTCCCTCCTCCTCCCACCACCCAGTGTCTTGTGTAAGGCAACCAATGACGTCAGCCCAATAGGGTGAGGTAATCTGTGATTGGGTGACACTCCTAGCCAACTTCTCTCGTATAACTGTATAGATGAGTGTATGACTATGGGTGGGTGTATGACAATGGGTGGGTGCATGACTATGGGTGGGTGTATGACAATGGGTGGGTGCATGACTATGGGTGGGTGTATGACTATGGGTGGGTGTATGACTATGGGTGGTGTATGACTATGGGTGGGTGTATGACTATGGGTGGGTGTATGACTATGGGTGGGTGGGTGTATGACTATATGGGTGTGTGTATGACTATGGGTGGGTGTATGACTATGGGTGTGTGTATGACTATGGGTGGGTGTATGACTATGGGTGGGTGTATGACTATGGGTGTGTGTATGACTATGGGTGGGTGTATGATGACTATGGGTGGGTGTATGACTATGGGTGGGTGTACTATGGGTGGGTGTATGACTATGGGTGGGTGTATGACTATGGGTGGGTGTATGACTATGGGTGTGTGTATGACTATGGGTGGGTGTATGACTATGGGTGGGTGTATGACTATGGGTGGGTGTATGACTATGGATGGGTGTATGACTATGGGTGTGTGTATGACTATGGGTGGGTGTATGACTATGGGTGTGTGTGTATGACAGTATGGGTGTGTATATGACATTATGGGTGTGAGTGTATGACTATATGGTTGTGTGTGTATGACAATATGAGTGTGTGTATGACTGTATGAGTATGTGTATAACAGTATGGGTGTGTGTATGGGAGTATGCGTGTGTATGTATGACTAACCTGTAGTCTTGAGAACATTGTCGTTCAATTACTACTGCTATCGGGTTGAGTCTCTGAGTCTCTGTTCGGGAATAATAATAATGAATAATAATAATAATAATAATAATAATAATAATAATAATAATAATAATAATAATAATAATAATAATAGAATTACTACTTCTTCTACTACAGTAATAATACCCTTTCTTGGTCTTGTACTGTACATATACAATTCTCAAGATTCACAAACCCATAAAACATATTACCTGGCAGAGCAATTAACACACCTGAAGATATCTTTGTCAGGTTAGGTTAGGTTAGGTTTCCATTTAACTTTGAATTAAATATTAATGTAAAATATCAACAAATTGTACATCACAGCGTAAATAGATACATCTCATTCTGAAGAGTTTCTCATACATTCACCTGAAAATTAGCCCCTAGATTAGTTCACCTGATGATTAAACACTCTGATGTTACCTTGGGTGGAGGGTTATGATAGGTTAGGTTAGGTTAACATTTGGATGGTTAATTTTACGGTGAAATAGCTGGGAGGGTTAAACTTAAGGTGAATTAATCCGTCAGCAAAGGTCAACCACCGCCAAAAGGGGAGTCAACCACCGTCAGCAGGGGAGTCAACCACCGCCAGCAGGAGTCAACCACCGCCAGCAGGAGTCAACCACAGTCAGCAGGAGTCAACCACAGTCAACAGGAGTTAGCCACAGTCAACAGGGGAAGTCAACCACTATCAGCAGGAGTCAGCCACAGTTAACAGGGGAGTCAACCACCGTCAGCAGGGGAGTCAACCACCGCCAGCAGGCCAGCAGCAACCACAGTCAACAGGTCAACCACAGTCAACAGGAGTTAGCCACAGTCAACAGGGGAAGTCAACCACTATCAGCAGGAGTCAGCCACAGTCAACAGGGGAGTCAACCACCGTCAGCAGGGGAGTCAACCACCGCCAGCAGGGGAGTCAACCACCGCCAGCAGGGGAGTCAACCACAGTCAACAGGAGTCAACCACAGTCAACAGGAGTTAGCCACAGTCAATAGGGGAAGTCAACCACTATCAGCAGGAGTCAGCCACAGTCAACAGGGGAGTCAACCACCGTCAGCAGGGGAGTCAACCACCGCCAGCAGGGGAGTCAACCACAGTCAGCAGGAGTCAACCACAGTCAGGGGTCAGCCACCACAGTCAAGCAGTCAACCACCGCCAGCAGGGGAGTCAACCACCGCCAGCAGGGGAGTCAACCACAGTCAACAGGAGTCAACCACAGTCAACAGGAGTTAGCCACAGTCAATAGGGGAAGTCAACCACTATCAGCAGGAGTCAGCCACAGTCAACAGGGGAGTCAACCACCGTCAGCAGGGGAGTCAACCACCGCCAGCAGGGGAGTCAACCACAGTCAGCAGGAGTCAACCACAGTCAACAGGAGTTAGCCACAGTCAATAGGGGAAGTCAACCACTATCAGCAGGAGTCAGCCACAGTCAACAGGGGAGTCAACCACCGTCAGCAGGGGAGTCAACCACCATCAGCAGGGGAGTCAACCACCGCCAGCAGGGGAGTCAACCACCATCAGCAGGGGAGTCAACCACCGTCAGCAGGAGTCAACCACCGCCAGGAGGGGAGTCAACCACCGCCAGCAGGGGAGTCAACCACCATCAGCAGGGGAGTCAACCACCGTCAGCAGGGGAGTCAACCACCGTGAGGGGCACTGGCCACAGAGCACCGTGCCTCGGTTCGCCAGTAATTTCCCATGATTTTACAACTCTTCCATGGAAGCATTGATCCAATGTCGTTATTCCACAGCAAATTTAGTGTTGCGAGCCAAACGGTGCTCGGCTTTCTCTTGGTAACGCAGCTGAAGAGTAACCACGAGCATCTACTTTATTTCAAACCTCTAAAAGTATTAGTAAATAAAAAAGAAAGAATAAAAAAATATCTAAAAAGTTAAGTAACTGTTCATCACCTGAGAAAATGGCGTCTAAGAATGGCGCCTCCATGATGGTCTGGTAGGTAAGCGTGCCGTGTTCTTCCACTATGTCCCTCAGTTCCTGACGAAGTCGGTGCTGGAGGTGTGGGTTGCGGGCCAGGTAGTAGGAGACGAAGGCCATGGTGCCGGCTGTAGTTTCATGACCCACGATAAGGAATAGGACGGACTGAGCGACGATCGTCGAGTCTTTTATAGCTGGAAAGGAGAGACCAAGAGGTAGTGCTCAGCAGGAAGTGGTCGAGTTGTACTGTACAGTAATGTGAAAGAGCATCGAACCTAACCTAACCTAACCTAACCTAACCGAAAACGTTGATAATTTTACTCTTGGTGAGATATGATACAATTATATAATGACAAGAAACCTTTAGCACAGTCAAATATAAGTTAATCTTAGTTTCACGTAGTCTGGCCTAAACACACATGAGCTTATCTTATTATACCCAGTCTAATATAACATAACCTAATCTAACCCCAGTATAACCTAACCTAACCTAACCTAACCTA